GTCGTCTTCCATACCAAAGAAACCTAGTTTGAAATGAGTAATAGATCCCTTTAGGTTACTATGTTGAATAAATTGTATAATAGAGGCTTCAGGTATTACAAATTGTTAAATAATCTGGCTGTATTGTTGATTTGTAGTTACATAGCTAGACGTTTTCCACCTAGTACTACAGGAACTCATCCTTTAACAGAAAAAGGACTGTACAGGAATAGGAGAATTTTCAGAAATAAAAGATTTCAAAATATTAAAATTTTGTTATGAATTTGTACTTCATAAAATGTTATTGTGTCAGAATTAAAATTGCACTATAACTGTTTAAATTTCCAACTAATAAGATAGCAAGGGACAAGCAAATAATTTTTTCATAGAGGACTACAAAAAGAATTGTTTTAAGTTGTAGGCTTCCCAATTTCATTCTATAAAATGTTTTAGTTGTTTTAGTATCCAAGACAATGAGGTCAAAGAATATCCTGAAATAATTCACAAATTTTATTTTGCTGTCTCAAAACTTCAGTATTTTAAAACCATTGTACATCTTTTTCTTTTGGTCTTTTTTGCTATTGTCATCTAGTTTAGTTGCTTGCTTATTTTTAGATATTTGGTTGTTTCCATTTGGGAAATTAATCACTCATTTAAATTTTTTATCCTGGAAATGGCTAAACATCTTAAGATTAACAAGAAAAATTTGTTGTTGCTGAGTGATTTCAGTCATGTCTAGCTCTTCCTGACCTGACCCCATTTGGGGTTTTATTAATAAAGTAATTTTATATAGAAATAGTTTTTTTTAACATGTTTTATAGACTACACTTCCACATAATTCTAATTCACTGTTCTTAGAACTGAAGAGGAACTCAGCTTTTCAATGTCTAGGATCATGTCTGAATATTATTTTTAAATAGTATATGTTATCTATATTACCGTTCTATGGCATTTCTATTGTCAGTTTTTTAAAATTAAAGACGCAACATGTTAACAAAATTTTATCATGCAGTCTTTGTCAGTTCTCATGTAAATGAAGGGAAAATATTTCTACATAAGCTTTTTACAACAAATTTTAAAGGAGTATGTAAATTATTTTGTATCTGGTTTTAACTGGGAATTAGTGGACCTTTTTTGGCTAGTTCTTGGAAATAATTTTCTTAATATAGAGATTTTCATCATCTGATTTTTTTGTTGTGGAATATAACTTTTAGGAGCCTTCACTTTTTAGCAACATTAATACATGACTGGGGGGTGGGGGGAAAAGGGGTAGATTCAGAAGCTCTTAGAGTGTTTTCATAATGAAAACTATTCCTAATTCAGTCATTTTTTAAAAAATGTATGTTTGAACTACATTATATATGTTGTTATTATACTTAGTCTCTATTTTTCTTTCTATATGTCACATTTTTCCTCTAATTGCTATTTATGACTAATTAAAGGTAGTAAAAACATATGAGGAATTTCTCATGTTCATTTGGCAAGGGAAACTGAAACTTTTTAGACATCTCTTAACTGGATTATGGATTTTTTATGTTTTTAGTGAAAACTTAGTATTTCAACTTTACGTTGGTGGAGTCACATTTCTACTGATGGTGAGACATAACCTATTAATCACTTTGAAGATTTCTCTAAAAGGCATTAAGTTTTATTAAGAAATATCCTTAGTATCAAAAGCATGCATAAAACAAAAAAATCTTTAAATATTGTCAAGAATACTTTCAACAGTATGTTCTGTAACCCAACATACTCTGTCATTCTCTATTTAGAATACCAGTCTGTGTATATACACATATATGTGTATAGTACATGCCATATTAAAACCATGGAGTCTTCATTTCTGTGGGAATTAACCTTATTGATTCATATTTCTCAGGAAAATTTTTAGTACTTTGACAGTAACCCATTTTTGAAATCCTATCATAGGCATACTAGGAGTACCATCCACAAATACTGTAAGTTTAGAGAATTATTTAGGATTATTCGAAATGAAGGAAGAAACAAAAATAAGCCTATGAGAAGGTATTTAAAAAATAGTAAAGCTGTGAGAACTTGCAAATCTTGGGACTTAGGGCAGAGCCTATTAGGACATTGCTGCTCAGTAACCCCTAACAAGCTCCTTCATGCATAGTCTGCTGTTGCCACCTGGCACAAGCTTAATAGAACTAAAATCAAACTAGCCCAGAACTAACTGTATACAGTAAGTTGTGTTTTATGCCATTCAAAAGCAGATTGACAACTCCTACATAATATGAACATTGTGGGAAATTGTACCCGTTTAACGTCCATACACAAAATGTTCCTTTCCTGACATTGTCCTTGATGATCTAAACTACGACAAGACTGTTCAGAATAGTGTGTGTGCAGTGGGGACAGAAAGCTGGAGTTTGAGTCAGAAAACCTGCATGAGAGCTCCAGTTCTTTTATTTGCTCTGCTTCTGTGATTTGGAGCAAGTGACAGGCTCTTCAGATTTAAAATGAGAGGGCTGGACTGGAGCATGTCTAAGAGCCTTTCTACTCAAACTCCTGTGGCATACGTGGCAGTCAACAAGCTATATTGAACACCCACTGAATGAAACAGTCCCTACTTTCAAGGAGCTTAAGCTCATACTTTTTGTTATACTTAACCAATTTGTATGTTGTCTTTCTTAATAGATTTTGAGCTCTTTAAGGGCAGGGAAAATGTCTTACACAAATTTGCATTCTTGCCAGTTTGCATAGTACTTTGCACATAATAGATGATTAAATATTAATTGAATAGAATGCCTTCTTCCCTTTTGCTACTGACCATGTATTCTACGTGATAGTGAAACTGAAATAATGTTCCCTCAATGTGTTCCTGAGATTTCCTTATGCTGTTTTAGGGAGAAAAACTTTTAAATGAATGTAAGAAAAAACTTCCTTTTGACTGAAATTAGCCAAAAATAAATGGGGCTACTTTTGGAGGTAGTTAATTCATAGGTTTATATATATGGTGGTTTGTTCATTATCATACAGGGAGTAGCAGCTGGAATTTGAACCCAGTCCTCTCTTGACTTTAGTGCCTTCTCAATCTTGCCATACTGACATCTGTAAACCATTTTGGCACAGAACAACTCACTTGAAGAGATTGATGACTAAAAGACTCTAGTTTTGACTTTGAAAAACAAGATTTAACCTATCATAATAGCCATTAATGAATGGTAGAAATGTACATCAGGAATAGGGGAAACCTGTAGAAGGTCGCTGATGGACACAAAATAGTCTGGCTGTATACACCTACTTTTTTAGTTTGGGAGTGAATCAGGAGAGCAAATAGAACATCCATTTCACTAACTTTTAAGGTTTTTCACAGTGTGACTTCCAAGGAACCTTTCCAACAGTTAACTTGTCTTGCTTCTCACATAGTCTTCGTCTCCTTCCTTTTTTTACTTTGTGTCAGCTGTCTCCCAGACCCAAAATACATTTTGTTTTTATTTCTGCCTCTTAGAAACTTTAGCTTCCTTCCAAATGTAAACTCAGGTGCCACCACCTACAAAAAAACCTTTCCTGATATCCTTAATTGTTTGTTCTTTTCGCATTAAATACATAAAATCAGTTTAATTCATACTTCCTATTAGAATATAGTTCTTTGAAGGTGAAGACTTTTTGTGTTTGTATTCCCAGGACTTTGCACATAGTAAGCACTTAATATTTATTGAATTATATAATTTAAATGATTGTTATAGGCCGTAAATGCCAAAGGTGTAAAAATGTGGAAGAAGTTGCTATGATTACAGTGATCAGGACCAGGATAGTATAACGTCACAGGAATTAAAGAGTTTCAGGAAAGGAGAGAGGGTGCACAGTAATTTCAAAGGCTTCATAAACGAATAACATAAACTAAGTTTAGAATGCATAAACAAGCATTTATTAAGTACATACTGTGTGTCTTTCACTGTACTTACAGAAGGGAAAGATCCTGGATTGCTTACAACAGCCACGGTGCTTCCAATGCCTTAAATTTTTTTCCACTTAATTCGGTTAGACTGCCTAAAATTTTACCAATTTATTTGGCTTAGACACCGCCCCGCCCCCCCCCCTTTTTTAATGCAACTAACTCAAAAGGGGTAAAGAGCTTTTCTTTTTAAAGTACTTTTCTATGAAACAGTTCTGTAGCTTTGAGAAGCTGTTCTGAATTAGTTGGAATAAGGAAAACAAGGAGAGAATTTTCTTAATTTCAAAATGAGGTACTTGAGGGGTAGGTCAGGATATGTGTAGACTGGGGACCTAGAGAAAAGAGTGCTAGAAAGTAGGGGAGGATTTAGAAATGGAGACTAGATTGACAAAAGTGGTTATCTATTTTAGGTTTTCTTTTCCTTCTGCCTCATATATACCCCCTTGCTTCTAGGACCTTGAGTTTAGGCTAGTTCTTTGTTCAGATATTTTGTATATTAAGTAGACTGTTGTAAGACTATGTCAGGAACCTACTATTATTTTATAACATTTCTGTTACAAGATGTTTCTCAAAAGTTGATTTAAAGAAATTTTTGGAAAAACACCTCTTATAGATTAAGTGCTACCTACACCCAGAAAACTAAACTAGAAGGCCTAAATTAATTTTATATAAACTAAATTTAAATTCTAAGAGTTGCTAAGGTGACTCCTGACATTGAGAAGCAGGCATAGCATTTTAAATCTAAAGGAATGAGTGAACCTGCAAATCCTAAAGAGTGATGAAGAAGTTCAGGGCCATAGTCAGCATGTATCTATTAAGTGCCTACTATGTGTCGGGCATTGTATAACCCTATATTTATAAGATTTATGGAGAACCTATATCCACAAGACCAATAAATACTATCTAATATAAAACAAACTTGCAAAATCATAGAATTTGTGAGCTAGAAGAGGACTTAGAAACCATTGTTTCATTTCACACATGAGGAAAAGGAGGTCTACAAAAATGTAATGATTTATTCAAGGATACACATTGCTCAAGTGAACTGTGTTAATATATTCTTGACACAACCCAGATATGCCATTCTCTGATTATCTTTTTTTAGGTCCCCCGAAGGATGGACAAATGGGCTGGAGAATGATTGTTAAGAGGAGGTTATATGACTGGTTATTCAAAGAAAGAGGACTTTCCCGTTCTGAATACATGCCACCACTATTCATGGGTGGGAAAGACTTGGTAGGAGTTTTTTATCCAGGTACTTCTAGTTGAGTAACAGCATGCACATTTCTCATGTTGCTTTTTTAAAAAAATAACATTTGAATGAGGAAAAGAATTATTCTTAGTATGAGTAAACCATTATAAGCATTTGATTTCATTTACAATAAATGACTATTTTAGAAGTCGCTTTTTGAAATGCTTTTCTGTGCTACTTGGGATTAAAAGATTTGGGAGAGGTGGCATGATGTGCTGAATCTGGAGTCAGAAGTCATAGTTTTCAATCTCTTATTTGTGTGACCTGAGATAAGTCATCTCAACTATAAAGCCCCCAGTTTCTCTAAGGCTTACCAGCTCTAAATCTCTGACTCTGTCATTTTCAGGAAATTAAGAAGTGTCATAATTCTAGTGGGAATGAACCTTATCATCTGGACTAACTACCTCATTCAGGAATCAACATATATAGCATCCCCACCAAGTAGATAGCATTAGCTTAAATATATTCAGGAATGGGGAAAATAACTATATTACAAAGCAGTTTATTCTAGGCCATTTTCAATTGTTAGAAAGTTCTTATAGTGACCAAAAATAAAGTCTACTTCCCTATACTTTCATTCTTTGATGTTACTTGTTACTTACGTTTACACTGGGTAAAACAAATTCATTTTCCAGAAAACAGCTTTTGAAGGCAGCTAAGTGGTGCAGTGGATAGAGTGTCAGGTTTAGAGTTCCTGAAGACCTGAGCTCAAATCTGGTTTGAGATATTTACTGGTTGTGTGACAACAAGCAGTCATTTAACCTCTTTTTGCCTTCATTTATAAAATGGGGGCTGTTATTATAGCACCTACGTCCCAAAGGTGTTGTGAGGATCTAATGAGATAATTGTAATGTGCTTGGTTCGGTGCCCAGCCAAGAATAAGTGCCACGTCAAAGTTACCTATCATTATTATTATCATCATACATCTTCCATATCATTTCTCCCTGCACATTTTTTTTCTCCTTTCATTACTAGTTCCTTTAGCTATTTTCATTTTGAATTTTAATGAGGAGGAAACTGGAGCCAAGGGAGGTGAAATGACTTGGCCAGAGACTGAGTATAGCTTCAGAGTGAGGTTCTCTGACTCCAAATCCAGTGCCCTTTTCTGCTTCCTCTTACCTTCTGGATGTGTTCCTGTTTGTCAGTATCTGCTTAAAATGAGACAAGTAGTCAACAGAGTGTAAGTCAGTAAATACATAGGTAACAATTGAATTGAAAATTGGAAATAATTCTAGCTTCTAAGATAGGATTATGTCTCATCAGTACTCTGTGTATATATGGGAAAATCATCCTTATAATTTTATATCTCTGTGTATTACCTGGTCATTGGCATCACCAATACATCATCTTTCAGAGATGCTCAAGAGAAATAAATAACTGCTGGTTTAGCTAATATGTATAAGAGGCAGAATACCTAAGATGACACAGGCAGTGAGTAGCAGAAGTCAAATTTCAACCTGTGTTCTCTAATTACATATCCAGCATTCTTCCTACTATACCACTGCCTTTATTGATTAGCAATCTAACATTCACTTAAATTAGAGATAAAATATGCAAGGACAAATCAGGTATTCATTTATAAAATTAGGATGTTAAACTACAGTTTTACCAGATGATCTCTAAGTAAGCCCTCTTCCATCTCTAAAGTTCTTTGATTATTTGAATAAGAAAAAATACTTAACTTTGTTATTACCTAAGTCACAATTGATAGATTTATTTTTTATTAATATTTTGCTCTTTAATTAGACACTTTGTATCAGAAGAATTTTTAACTGAATTTTGTTAATATCTCAAATATGTTCAGTATTTGAACCTCTGGACATTGGCAATATTTTAGTTTATATGATTTTTAAGGAATAAAATCAGTTTTATTGTAAGGAAGAAGTTTTTACATCCCAAAAGAAACATTTATGAAATGAATTAGATATTAGTTAAATATATAGTATGTATATGTAATACATTCTGTATGACATAACCTAATATTTTTTGAAGCAGACTTATACTCTGCTACTAGCTAAGCAGAGAAAGACACATCGCCTGGCCATTTGGGGATGACTTCCTCAGCTGTGGCAACCCAGGAAATAAAGAAAAATGCAAAAATGTGACTCAATCTCCCACTATTCCTGCACTAACAATGGTATTGTCAGAACGAGGTATACTTGGCACGTGGTATTCTTAAGGTGATACCCTGATTCAGTGACCAATAGATGAATCTTCCTCTGACAGAAATTATTCATGTCAATCTTTTCACTCCTACTATAAATTAAACCAAAAGAAGAAAGTCAACGATAAATGGAAGAAGTCAGGTTCTCATTGAAGAGGGAAATGAAGAAATTGGTAGCATCGGTTTTATTATACATCCACAGACGGAAAGGAACAGTTCATAGAATAACATGGTCTTCTGGCACTGTAGTGGTCATGATAAGTATCTGTAAAACATTTACCATGAAAATAATTGCAGCATGTGTACCAATACTCTTACAAAGGATAAGTTAGAGAAATTCTGTCAAGAACTTAATATATAGGTCAGTACGGAAGCAAAAGTGAGAATAGAGGAGGATGGCAAGAAATACATTGGAAAAGTGCATTAGTGATAAAAATGAGAGCAAATGCTGTGGACTACGCAGAATTATATCTGTACATCTTTGGGGGGGAAAAAACCTGGCAAATTTTGGACATGGCAAGCACCCAAATAACATCACAAAGAAATGAAATTGATTTTATTTTACCAAAAAAAAATTACTCATAACTGATATTGTAGTAATTCTTAAATCATCTCTCTCTACAGTTGTACCACTGACTTAGAGCAAAGATCAAAATCATTACAAAACTAGAATAATTAAAATTATTAAAAAGACATTTCAGTTGAAACAACTCAGTTGTGTTATATTTGAACAATTTATTGCTAAGAAAAACCTGGGAAAACTTATATGACTTAATGGCAAAGAGAAGTGAGCAGAACCAGAACAATTTATACAAAAACAGCAATATTGTAAAGATAACTTTGAAAGACCATTGTTATGACCAATATAATTAAGAAGGTTTTGATGTGAATCAACCATAACAGAGAACAATAGAGCCTAAAAAGCAACTTCATCAGAAAACAATGTATATGCCTAGCAAAAGATGGCAGTCCCAGACAACACCATTTTAGAACTTCAGGCTTGTTGTAAGAAATCTTAGAACGATAATGGAAGATAATGAGCTGGATCACCTCATAAAGCAGAAAGGAATGGAGATTTAAACTAATTTAAAAGAAAACTGAGTGAGAGATGCAACTGAGCAGTTATCCTGATTGCTGTTACAGCATTAAACATGAAAAGAGGACAATGAACCGAAGAAAAAAAAAATCCAAAAAATTTTATAGGACATTCTTCACTTTCAAAAACAGTAGAACTGTTTGTTTATAAGAAGAGTACAAATAAGGTATTAGCATTTTTATATAGCACTTACTATGTGCTAGGCATTGTGTTAGTACTTTTACAAATGTTTCACATGATCCTAATAACATACCTGCAAGGTAGGTATTGTTATCCTTGTTTTACGGGGATAAAACTTTAACAGGTTAAATGACTTGCCCACAGTCACTGAGCTAGAAAGTGTCTAAGGCTAGATTTAAACTTAGGTCTGTCTGACTCCAAGCCCAGGACTCTATCCTACTAACTGCTACCAGTGCCAAAGGTCCGGGAAAACAGCAAGATTGGATGAAGTATATGTTATGTTAACATGCTAGACAACATATTTATGCAGGTGTTGAAAGATTCGTAGTGTCTAAGCAGTCTGTAATACGACAAATAAGGAATTGGAAGAACTGAAGTAAAGGATGTCATCAGGAAGATGTATGCTAAGAAAATAAAGCTTACTGTTCCTGTGGCCAACGTGAAATATAAAAAGTAGATAGCCCAAACGCTCCACTGATAACCTTTTGGTATTAGGAGAAAGCAAGGAAAGATTCTAGCGCATTAGGTGGACCCTCTCTTGCAAACTGAGGAAACTTGGACAAGAGTTAGCTATGATGGGGTGGGTGTGCTTGGGTTATGATCTTCATTGTTGGAGGGAACTTCCAAATTTATTAACTGACAGCCTCCTGAATAGATAAATTTGTGTAATGTTTTTATTAAAATATAAAAAGACTGATGCCAGAGTCATAGGTTCTCCCTAGGATAGTTTGTTTATTCTTGCATTAACAGGCATATAAACTTAAGCACTCTATCCTCATAAATTTATAGTGTGTATGTAGTAAGCTATAGGGAACAGCATTTTAAACATAGGAAGGATTGGGAATAATATATTGTCTTTCACTTAAATATTTTCAATATAGATAACCTAGGTCTATGAGTGTGCATGCACGTGTGTACATATAAATGGAATAATTGTTTTCCATTTCAAGAAAGCTGTATGCATGTATACACACACACACACTTTATACTTTACCACAAAAGGACAGAATTTACCAATATCTGACTTACCCTACTGTAAGTTATTTTTTAATAAGAATATGAAAGCAGAGTATACAAAAACAGTAGGCCAAATTTTATCTTAACCCTCCTTTAAAAAGCCTAGGTCAAAGAGGTCCTGAACCGTACATGTGAATTTCATACTGCTGTAGTGGTGCAGTTGATTCCATTTGTTCAGTGACCTGAATTGTCATCTTCAGGCAAATATCACCATTTTATCTCCGTAATCAAATCTCTATTCGTTTTAGTACAGATGCTTGAAATAAAGATTTTAACACATTAAAATTGAATATGATTAAATTGTTATTTCTCTTTAAAGTAAGATTAAGTTAACTTTCTTGAAGAATCATTAAAAAATAAGTTCAAGCAACCATACAAACTAGTCAGCCATCTAATATAGATCAGATTTGTTGAAGAACATGATCCTTGAGGAATGGATAGACTTTGTTGGTCCTGGGTGTGTTGCTAACTTGCAGGAAGCAAATTAGCATCGTTGTAGAGGTGAGACTAAAGATGTTAGCCATGGTAAGAACTGTGTAAGTAAAC